CAATTCATTTTTCTTCTAAGGAATGACTGACGATCTACTATCGCCCGCTTCCTTTTATTTTTGTTTCATTAAGATTTCCATATTCACTTACAAAAGAAGCTCCATCCACAAGGCTAGTAGCGACGAAAATCATTGTTGTAAATACCATGTTTGCTCCAAAAAATCAGAACTGATAAGTTCGGCAATTTAAAAAAATATTATCTGAGAAAACTGATATTTTAAAAAAAGATAATTCACGATATCACGACCAAAAAACAAAGCATTTGCCTCTTCGCAAGCTAAAAAATTCGTTATTTCCTTCGCAAAAAACAGTTGCACGTTTCTGCTAAGCGATGGCCTGGAAATTCATTTTGGCAAGATTATTTTCATGCATATGCATATGTGTTTCTTAAGCCACATATATCAGTTCTGGAATCATAAAAACCTGGAAAGTTAAATCTCATGAACAAAATTCTCGATAGCGCACAAAACTGCGAAGCTGGGGAACAATTTACTAGGCCTTGGATCTTTGACTTCAAGTTCAGAAAAATTTTATAATTTCAAAAAGAGAGATTTCTAGCTCGTTGAATAAAAGCTGAAAAAAAAGTCTAGAACATGATTTCAGAGAAAATGCTCTGATCGTTTATCATAAACTCAAACTTTCTTAATCTTCAGCAAAAAAAATCTCTAAATACGCGTGATGCCATGAATACGAACCAATTCATTTTCCCCCCTGCGTCTTATTTTGCCACCACACAACTAATGCGTAACAATTTTCTGTCTCAGAGCGAACAAATCTGCAAACTCAAGATTTTGAGAGTTTTGATTAATTGCATACTGCCTCCTACTTAGTTAAGACATAACTACTTCATACTTATAACTTTAAGGTAGGATATTCGATATGCATAAGCACATTCCATCATGGACTGTGGAAGTCTTCCATTTACTGACACAGTTCAGGGTAATGTATAATTTAGCTGATTGATTCGCTGTTTTTCGTCTTTTTATGGGTTTTTGACGTGCAGCACTGGAGCGCTGCAGCAGGCAGCAAAAGCGCATATTGCAAAGACCCTGCCGGTGTGTGTGCATGTGTGTGTGTGCGTGTGTATGTTTGTGTTTGTTTGTGTGTGTGTGTGTGTTCTGTCCGGGTATTTCAACTCGCCAACCACGCAAGCTGTGACGTTGAAATTTTGCCAGTATGTTCCCTAGCCAAGTGCCACCCCAGCGGTATTAACCCTCATGCACGTCTGGGCCTCGCGTGCGAGCACGTGAAAGTCTTGGCGGGAAAATTGCTAACTTGGGAACGAGAAAAGTTAGAAACGAGAAAAGTCTCTGAAACCTTAGAGGAGTCTTCCCTACCTGTGTACGACAAAAGGATTTCAAATCCAGCTACCCAGGACTGCCTTGGGCTTACGTACAGATGCGTGGGAATTCATAACTCGAGAAAGTTAAAACTTTGGGGACGTTTCCTACTCAAGTACGACCGAAACTTTTCAAACTCAGCTCCTTAGGACCACACGGGGCTCACTTTAGAACACTTGGAAATTTTGGCGGGAAAATCACTAACTTGGAAACGAGAAAACCCAGGAGGCTGAAACTTCAGAGGAATGTTCTTTACTTACGTACGACCAAAATCAACTGCCCAGGACTGCCTGGGGCCCACGTACGGAACATTTGCGGAAGTTTTGATTGGAAAGTAACTATCTCGGGAATGAGAAAAGCTAGAAAGTTGAAACTTTAGGAGAATGTTTCCTACCCACATACGACCAAAATCAAGTGTTTAGAAGCGCCCGGGGCCCAAGTACGGGCACATGGAAATTTTCGCGGGAAAATCAATAATCCGCCAACGAGGAAATCTAAAAAGCTAAAACTTTAGAGGACTGCTCCCCACTCATGTACAACCAAAAGATTTCAAATTCAGCTCCTTAGAACAGTCCGATACTCACGTACGGGTATGTGAAAATTTCGATGAAAAAACTGTTAACTCGGGGACAAGAAAAGCTGAAAGACTTTTAAGGGAATGTTCCCTACTCACTTGCGACTAAAAGATTTCATATTTAACTGTTCTAGTGGGGTCTTTTTCGAGCACCAGCAACTTTCGCTTTGTCAGATCACTTAAGCGGACAACTACAACTGACGCATTACGTAGCTGCACAATTAGCTTCCCGAATTTCGAGGGCCAGTATGTCATAGGGCTAGCCACTGCAATTCCTTGCGATCTTGCTACGGCACGAAAAGTGCAAAAACGCATAACTGCACCAGCCCACCTGGTACGTTCCAGCCTGGGTTTATCCTTGTGAAAACAGTCACTATTTTGAGGTAATGGTGCGAAGAAGTAGCTTACAGTACTGCGATGAGCATAATATAGGGGGTGATCACATGCAAATCCAGATAAGTTACCTTGCTTGCTCTGTGTTAATTTTCCAACAAGAAAGTTCGGCTGTTTCTTTGTTTTTAAATTTGCTTCAAGCTGTTAATTTCAGACAAAAAACCCTCATCATTTCGTCTGAAAAAGTTATTGGTATTTGCTGAGAGTTATAGGTATTTACTAAATCGAAGAATCGAAGCGCCAGGTAACAAAATGAGTGTCGAATTTCGAGGTCGCTTTTTACGCGATGCTAAAGAAGTTTTTGGTATCGATATCGTTTCTCTCGCCATTCAACAAGGACGCGATCACGGCCTATCCAGCTACAACGCTATGCGCTTACACTGTGGTTTAAAAAAGGCTTGAAACTTTTCTTTTTGTGTTTTTTCTCCTTATATCTTTAAATTGCACAGTTTGCTGCACATAAATTTTCATGCATTCCCGAAAAAAATACTGGCTTATTTCGTTCAAAATCATATTTGGAGTTGTGAAATCATGAAATTTTAAATCAAAATCCCTCTACTTTTCATTCTCTTTGAAAGGCAAAGAAGTTCAGGAAAAGCTCTGGCCGGTAGCGCTTTACTAATTGCACTTTCTCGCTGGTAAGGTTATCAATGGCTCACTTTTTTGAGGGTTGCTTAAAAACAAGTAGAATGTGCACTCCTTGCATGTATCTGCAGGAAAGATCCACTCTCTTCCAGTGAGGGTGCTCCGATTTTACTCCTCTACTCCTCAGTGCTTTTGCAAGCGCAGTAGTAAGTGCAGCGTATTTAGGCGGCTTCGTTTGATGAGCTTTCGTCATATTTGTCGCCAAATTTGAACCCAAATGAACTGGCAACTTTATATGAGCACGTGGACGATGTCGATTTGGTCGTGGGTGTATTAGCAGAACGGCCGACACGTGGTTCCCTGGTGGGTGACGTGACAGGATGTATTATCGGCAGTCAGTTCCAAAAAGTTGGTGCTATAATTAACATACGTTTATGCCACACTGATGAACGTTAATTTACCGCTTATAGCAAAATGCTTTCACATTTCTGGGAGTAGGGCAACAAGCTATAAAAAAAACCTACAACACTGTAGTTAATTTGTATCAGGTATGTGGAACGTCAGGGCAAAACCACCAGAGCCGAACAGTCACACTGATTGTTCAGACAATCTTGGTAATGCAACTTTTTTCAAGCAACAATAAATTCAAAGACGCTGATCTTATAGGGATAAGGCATAACGAATGGAAAGTGAAGATTATGCAACGAATTGGTATCTTAGCTGTGAAAAATAACAAATCGTTTTTTCAAGTGGTAAGAAAAAAGTGGTGAATTAATGTAGGAAATCAAAAATTTGAAGAGGAATGTTTTGATCCAATAACTGTTTGAATAAATGATTTCGTACCGCTTTAGAACAGATTTTTCTTTCCAAAAAAAAGCCTCCGCGCGGAAAATTTACGTAAAGTAGCTAAATGCAGCGATGACTAAGGCAGCAAAGAGCTCCTGCATGATAAATTCAGCATTCAAGTTTATTTGAACTGGCAGCGAAAAACAGAAACAGTACTGGCTTTTCTGTTAAAAGACAGTAGCTTTAAATGACTGCTCAACTTGGCCAAATCTGATTGTTCACTTCTTTCGTAAGCTGCCACTGTTTACTTTTTATGCGC